ATCTAAATACTCAAAGGCCACCCTCACAATGAGGGCGACGTCCCATTATATGGCCTCATTGTTTCATATTGACACAAATCATGTGAACATATTTCACACACAGCTTTTCTGGGAAATCTGTTGCAGTGTCTCACTGCCCTCACAGTAAAGATTTTCTTCCTAATATCTAGTCTAAATCTGCCCTCTTCCAATTTAAATCCATCACCCCTCATTCTGTCACTGCATGCCCTTGTAAATAGCCCCTCCCCCTCTCTCCTGTAGCCCCCTTCAGGTACTGCAAGGCTGCTACAAGGTCCCCTCTGGAGCCTTCTCCAGGCTGAACAATGCTGACTCTTTCAGCCTGTCCTCATAGGGGAAGTGCTCCAGCCCTCTGATCATCTTTGTGGCTCTCCTCTGGACCTGCTCCAACAGCTCGACATCCTTCTTGTGTTGGGGGGCCCCACATCTGAACATCCTTCTTGTGTTGGGGGGCCCCACATCTGAACACAGTACTCCAGGTGGGGCTTCATGAGAGCAGAGCAGAGGGGGAGAATCACCTCCATCGACCTGCTGGCCGCACTCCTCTTGATGCAGCCCAGGATCCGGTTGGCCTTCTGGGCCATGAGTGCACACTGCTGGCTCATGTTCATTTTAAGCCAAATCTTTTAATTGTCAAAAGCTGCCTTATGTTGATGACGTTGTAGAGGCGATTTTGAGGTGCACCCTCTGAATGCCTTTCAGACAAAACCGAACTGGGCGCTGTGCTTCAAATAAGCTGAGTGGGGGCATTGTTTTTGGCTCCTGTCTGAACCCACCCAGTCCTAAGGCCCTCTAGCTGGCACTTAGCACTCGTTTGCTACTGAAGGGCTCTGAAACCCTAGAAACATGCTGAGGAGCTCATGTGCTATATAAAGAGCTCAGTGCTCTGGATAGTGTTCTCATTTACGCTATAATTATCATTCTCGTCAGTTCTTAAAATAACTTTACACTCACAGACATCCAGAAAAATAAATATACGTTGATGATACATTTTAACCACTTAAACCAGATGCTGCTGTTGCATTTCCTTGTCAGAAATTCTAGTCGTGTTTAAATAAAACTTTCCCAGCCTCTCATATTTTAGCACAGTTTGTCACAAATGACACAGCTGATTTTCATTCAAATTCTTTTACAGACAATTTGCATTGACTGTGCTGAGAAGCAGTCCCCCTGCTTCCATCTATCCTCTATCTCTCCATCACTTCTACTGCTACACTACTCCTTTTTGTAAATCTTCATCATAAGCCAGAGTGTGAATTCAGTCAGAAAACAGATCTGGATTAAAACTAGCCTCTTGGGTTTGGGGATTTTATTGTTGTTGTTGGGGGTTTTTTTCTGTGTTGTAGGTCACACTAAATTTTCCACATAATTAAAAAAATGAATAAAACTGCTAAAGATCTTCAGGGTGGATTTTATTATCATGCTAATAAAGTGTGATTTGTTTTGGAACTTGTTGGAGTTGCAAACAATATTTGGTGAGAGACTACTTGGGTGGATAGTGGGAATGAAAGTTTTCTTCCCCCCTCTCCCCCCCAAAAAAATTGTATCTTTTAACAGGAGGGCAATGTCCATCTTTGCAAACTGTGTGTTCTTTATTGAAGTGAAATACCCATTCAGGAGAAGAGCAGGCTGAGAGTTTGCGTGAAAGAAAATGGTGGAGTAGTTAATTTTGTGCTTAATCACAAGGTAAGTTCCAGATTTATTTTTGAGATCTCAGTAAGAAAATATCAAGTGATGCAAGTGTTGTAGAGCATTAATCTTGCCTCATGTAGAGAACTAAGAACTGTAGAGATTAAGTCTCTGTTCAATATTTAAATGGAAATATTCGGTTTACATTTTTAATGCATCTGTCTCTGTAGTACTGAAATGTCACATAAAATATTAAGAGCCCAGCAGTTTCCTGGTGACTCTGAAAATGCACATCTGTTTAGGAGAGAAAATTAAGAACCGAAGAATAACGTTCTAGGAAGAATATTCCAAAGATGTGACAGATTTCTTTGCACTGTTAATTCAGGATCTTCCAAGATGTGTTGACACATCTCTTTGTATTGGCTGTGATCTTGTAAAGAAGCAGTGGATGGACAATAATGAAGGCTCACATTTATCCCATCAAACTGCTGATCTCCAGATGTGATTCAGGGAAAAAAGTCAAGGAAATTGCCTCATAAAAACAATAGGCTTTAAGAAAAGCTTTGCTAAAAAAATTAATTATTGAAGATAGCAAATGAACTAAGAGTTAATGCAGTACAAATATATATTAATTAAAATCTGTATTTTGAATTCCCTCTGTCTCTCTTCCCACTATATTTATATTTCAATACCTAAAATTTGTGAGCTCTAGGATATTGAAAACAGCTAACAATTGGCCAAGCTGTTCAGGGTAAATCCTACCCAAGCTTCAGAAGTTAAAGAACAGCTAAAGATTAAAAAGAACCTCAGAAGAGATTTGGGTTCAGTGCTCCTGTATCAGGGAAGAGCTCTTCTTTTTTAAAGCTGCACTTTTGTCATATGTGACAAGTAACAGTACATGCATTTATCATCCTGTTTCAAAGTAAAGTAGATCTAATTTCATTCTGATACAATAACCTCTCATTTATCTGTGTCCATCTGTTCTTGCATGCTTAATGTTAACAGTTTGAGGTGCAAAATCCACAGCCTCTTACTTATGTCCATTTTATTTTGACTTCTCTAAACATTTATTTTGTCCTAACTGTGCAGAAAGTTTTAACTTTCAGCATATGTATGATTTCAGTAAAAGAATGTATGATTCTTTATAAGGCTACCAAAGCATATTATCATTATTCAGCATTCTGTCCAGCTTTTTTTTTTTTTTTTAACTCTTACCCTAAATAGCTTTGGGTTTGTACCATGTTGGCCACAACAGAATTTGGCCCATTATGGAATCGCCTATGTGCTGCTAAAAGCTCTACAGAACATTAGGCACCTGGTCACCTTTATATCTTTGTGGTTACTGTAGAAAAGTGGACACACTCTGAAGATATCCATATTTTACTTGAGCTGAACTGTTACCTGAAAGAATCCTGCTTTCTCTGCTGTCTATGGATGAAGCACAGAGGTGCCATGTTTCTAAATCAGATGCTTAAATTAAAATACGGTCCAAAAAGGTTATCTGTATCTAAATGTTTCCTTTGGATGGTAGGATTGTACCAGTATGAATTTCAAATAAACAGTATTTGGATTAATATTGTATGTGTGCGTAGCAACTAATTGCAACCTGTCTTTCAGAGTACACATGTTCTTCTGGATACTGCTGATGTCCTCAGCTCCTGTGAGCTAAAAAGTATTCAGAAGTATCAGCTCCCTGTTTTATGTGCAGTTTTCATTTGGAAAACAGTTGAAATTGAGAAGTTTTTACAGATTGATGCAGGTAAGCTTAATAAATCACAAGACGACACTTCTGCTCAAAGGCCAAACAGACAAGGTTAAGTGTATTTGACATAGTTTATTAATCTATCAGTTACTTTGGTAAAGAATGTTTTACAACATGAATATTTAGGAGCAGCTTTTAAGAAATTGGCAAACATGGAAACTGGCAATAAAGTTGATTTAAAAAATAGTATTTTTCAGGAAAGAAATATCAGTTCCATTCTGTGGAGTCTTTCCATTGTTTTTTTTTTTTCTTTTAATGAATCTTCAAGTAAGACTTCAAGTTGGAAATGTGGATAAAATGTTAAAAATAACAAAAAAAAAAACCTCCAATGACTGTCTTTATTTGACTTCACTGGAAAAAAAGTGAAAAGTTTTAGTTAATTTCAACACAATGCAGTGGATTTAATGCCTTTGTATGAAGAAGTGTTATGTTTTGAAGTCAAAATTATGAGAAAATAAGATATCTAGAGAACAGGTTAACACGGGCTAGAAATATTTAATGCAACATAATTAAAATAGGAGAACTATTGGATTTGGAAGAACTTGGATATTGGAAGCATTCCAATACATAACATGGTTCAGATGCAAACTACTATCACTCTCTGTAGAAGGAAAAAAGACAAATGTTCATTTTCATGCTGTGAGACAAGCCAAAGAACATGAAAAAGAGATGAGAGGTAATTCTATTCAAAGTGTACAGTCAGCAAAAACTTATCATTGTGAAAGTTATTAGTGTTTTCATTCTCCTTCTCTTCTCCCTAGTAACTACGCTTTTAAATTCTTTTTACATCTCTTGGATTTTGCTGGGTGCTAGTGTTTCCTCTAAGTATTTTTAAAGTAATTACTTTTGACATTATAATACATTTTATTTTATTAACACTCTTATGTTGTGAGTCAGTACAAATTCCAGAACTATGTATAAGAATGAGAATCAAGACCCCTGCATTGCGTCACTGAGTCTGTTAGACAAATCTTAGGTTTTGCACAGCAGAGGCCATGAGCATGCATGGCTGAAGCTGGGTAGATCCATTGAGTAGCAATCCTAAATAGTTCTAAGCTAAATGTAGAACTGTATTCATACACCATATTTATACAACTTTGAGGAGAAGAAAAGGGGGGGGGTGGGCAAACCAATCAACCAAAAACCCCCAAAACTCACGTGAGCCATGGAGGAATAGTTCTCAGGCTGTATAGTCAAGTGGCACCATGTAGCTCTCAGTTACGTGCCCTAATTCTTTTTCCCGTTCCTGTCACAGTAGTCAGGGTGGTGAAGTGCCTGGAGGGAATAAGCCCTGGCATGGCCCTGGAGGTACTAATACTAGCAGTGAGGCATTTGGGGCAGTTGCTCTTCAGTACTTGACCCTGTATCCTGACGGTTATATGGCTGAATAAAATGTGACCTTAGAAGCTGTTAACTTGTTTCAACATGTAAAATATTTATGATTATTAAGTAGTAGTATTTTTTTAATTAAATATTAAGAAGTTAAATTAGGGAAACCAGATATTATACCAAGTAAATAAATGTTTGATTGCAGATGTGGAAGACCTATCATCTTCTGAAAATAAAAATGCCACAAGGAAAAATGAAAACGACGATTCCAACCTTCCTGTTATTGAAGACAGTGAGAGCAGAATTGAGTCTAAAGTGGGGACTCTTAGGTAAAATAAAAGAAAAGATGTATTGTGATACATCTATGTTGATTTTTTGTAAATTGAAAAAATCGAACCAACCAACCAAAAAAACTACTTCCCAGTCTGTTTCAGTGACTTCTGGAGACGGCTCTCATTATCTTAACAATGTAGTGGAAGATAAAATTATTCTTTCTTTGTTTTCTGTATTCTGCGTGTATGAATTTATAACTGCCTTTTTTTTTTTTTTTTACTTTTGTATCTGACTGTGGAAGTTGATTTTACATTTTTCCATCTCAGTGTACACCTACAGTCCAGCACCCTAATACATGCCAAGCTTCTACCAATTCAGCAGGCATTAGCATGGCTCAAGCTTTATGATTTTCTGACTGGAGCTCTGTTTATCATCGCAATTTTTTTCTTTTCTTGGTTCACGCAGGTTTTTGCAATCCAGTCCAATTCATTGTTTTTAGAAGTGCTGAGCAATCCTTTCTTTCATTAAAATTCTTGGGAGAGCTGAAAATCAAGATAACTGATACTGCTCTGAGTTGATTGGGAAACAGTATTGTTATAACTGTTTCTAATTGAGTTAAAAGGAACAAAACCAGTGCCAGCACTCCTAAATCTGTTCAAAAAGTGCAGCTTTCACTTTTAGAGACTGCTGTTCAGTCATAGGGGGTATTTAGTTACTCTGTGGGAATGTATGAGAAGTTACATCTAAGACATCTAAAAGTCCTGATGCTGAAGGATATGACTACATGTATATATCCTAATGTGAAAGTCAGGAGTAAGGGAGGAATTAGCCTCAGACAGCACAGGCAGCTGACCAAGCTATTAAAAAATTTATGTGTAACCAGGCAATGAAAATACATTTATTGTGTTACTTCCATAGTTTTTCCAAAGAATGAAGATTGGAGTCTAGTCTTCATCTTAAGGTTTACACTAAATGTTCCGGCCTATTAGTGCAGCAGCTTGTTCAGGTGGGATTTAATTTCTCAAAACTTTTTTTGGTTGTTATTTTGCTGCTGAAAAAAAATAGATGTATTTTGTTGGTTTTTACTTTAGTATGATGTTGTGGCTTATTACAGTACAGTATTTACCAGGCATATGTGATTTTAATTACTCTGATTCCATTCCAGATTTTACAGGGAAAATGATCAAGATACTCCTTTTTTCCCAAAAGATTTAGAAGTTGCAAAATACAGTGTCCTTGGAAAAGTAAGCCATCCTGTTATTGTGAGAGAATGTAGGAGGATCAGTAGCGGAATAAAATGTTTACAGTTATAGACATCAACAGTAACTATTTTATGTTGTCCTGTACTGCAATGCAAAGAAGAATACTGAAAAGTGCTTTAATGCTTTCTGTCTCAGTGCAGCCTAATTCTAACCAAATGAAATGCTTCTATTGTCCCTGTGTATAGTTCTCGATGAAGTATTGTAGTAATGTTTGCTTCTGACAAGATACATCTTATCATGGCTGTTATGTGTTAAATCTAATTTAAATTTTAATTTTTTCTATTAAAAATCTTTCAAAACACAAAAATTGTGGAAATGTAGAGCAGTCAGTACAGTGAAGCCCTGAGAGGAGCTTCTGCTCGTTACTCTGATACAAATAATTAATAATTCTGCTTCTTTTCTTAGCCAGTCATAGTGTGTAGTTCTAAATGGGGTGAAAAAATAAGTAGGTCAAGGGGAAGTATTTTGGTGCAACATACTGTGAATGAAACATACTTAGGCAATAAATTGGGGATTGGGGTTCTTTATTTACCTCTCCATTTAGGTTAACTACAAGGAAAGCAAAGATTTTGTAGTTATTGAATTGCAGTGTTCCCAGGAGTGTTATGAGTTTCCATTTCAACTATAGGCACACTTCAATGCTTCAAGTGGAACAAAGGTATGAACCTCTCATTGACATTATGTGTTTGTTTCTTTATGAACATTGAATGTGCCTGTTCCAGAGAGCTTCAGATGCTTTACATTCTTATTTGCAGGCTAATGCTTAGATATAGATAATAGGAGGTCATTTTGTTAAGCTTTATCATTTAAAGTTTGATTTATAGTTGGCTTCTCTACTCTGTGTGTTTACTTACCACTTGCTCAAAAGAACTGTTTTGGGATTTGGCAGCAACACAGCACGTTCCTGGATTCAGCTGCCTCATACTCACATGTATTTTCCTGGCAATATCTAAACTGCATAATGACATGTTGAAATGCTATAACAACTGATATTCTGGACAGAAATATTGAGAGACAGAAAAGCTTGTCTTGTATTTCTCAGCGTACAAGTTATATATGCACTCTGGTATAGCACTTGCAGTCTGTGTCATTGTAACAACATTAGATTCAAGTCAAAGGAGCTGTATCGGGGTGAATTTTTAATAGTTCAATTGATAGAACAAATTCCAGCACACCCTTAGATGAACCTATCTGGTCCCTGTGGGGTTTGTATAGGGAACCCTGTGCTTGTTCCTTATGTCCCTTGAACCCTCATGAAAGCGCTGCCTTGCTGGAAGCCTGTTAAATCACAACTCAGAAGTTAAGTGTGAATTGTCAGCTGTTAGTGTCTGGTAAAATTGATTCTTTAAGTCTCTATGTAGTTTCTTTGACTAACTTTACTCTTTCGATTTACAGAATAATCAACAATTTGTAACTAATACTGCTGAAGAAATAAAAATACAAGACTTTTATCGCAGACTTGGAGAGCCAGGATTTCCTGCTCAGAGAAACTTTTCCACCAGAAGCAGAATCTTTAGCTTCAACTAACGTGATACCTAAAAAGTGATGTGCTAATATAGCAAATCAAGCAAATCAGCTTCTGTGTTTGTCAAGACTTTATGTCTCAGTTTTCAAGAGAGGTCATGGCCATCCAGCCTGCAGTGCTCTCCACTTGAAAGAATTTATAAAAGCAAACCTTCCCTTCAATTCAATGGGACTGAAGAAATCATACTGAGCATGAATGAGCATTGTGCACTGTATTGTTTATGGGAACAGGAAAGTTTGTCTGTGTAAGAACTTCACTGCCATGACTTGCATTTTTGTCTTTTCACTGAACTATGTTTATTTTACTACAGTTAATTCTGGAAGAAGCCATCCATTCAAGTGCTATATGTCAGGAAGTTAGTGATTTTGTGGAATTGATATGGGTAGAAGCTGTTTGCCACCTGGATAGTTTACTACTTGAATCAGTAAACAACAGAAGCCTAAATGATGTAAGTTAATTCTTGTTACTCTGTGAGGACAAACACATAAATGCTGTTAGAAGTAATTTTTTCCCAGCAAACACCTATGTTGTGTTTCAGATTGGGATAGGTAATTACACTTTTGATACTCCTGCACTTCAATAAATCCATGCTTCAGAAATTTTTGTCTCAAATTTTGCTTTAGAATCATGACACTAAAGCATGCTGTACTCCCTTGGGCAGATGTCTGTCTTTTCCATTTTATAGAAATTTACACAATTCTTATAAAAGGATCCTTTCCATGAGATAAATCAAGTCACATACAAAGACAGTCATAGAAGGCAGTACATTAATAGTAGGCTACTGTCTCCTGCCGGTATGTTTCAGCCGTACTTCAGTCAGCCGTTCCCTTGTAATGGAAAAATGGTTTAAATTATAGTCCCTGTCTGCATTATCAGATGACACATGTAATTAATACACAGCTACTCTTGAAGGCCTTTGGATGTTACAGCTGTTATTAAGAGTAACTGCCTGTCCGCTCCTTTGTTAAGTCTGTGGCTCATTTAACCTCACTTTCCCACATACCTCAATTCTTTTGCTTTGCTCCCTAGACATTTGAGAGGATAATGTTTATTCATGTAACTTAAGCTCATATAACTTAACAAACAGCCAACAAAATGACTGTTTAAGACAAGAGTTTTGTTCATCTCTGTTATCACTGAAGACAAAATTACCTGAGGATTATGTTGGTTTTAAGTTGGAAGAGCTTTGCCAGTAAAAGGTCCCCAGTTCTGGAATTACTTTGCCCTAATTTTATTACATGAAATTCACTCTTGATTCTCTTCAACTGATGTATGGTACAAGAATATTCCTTTCACTTTTTGATGTGGAAATAATACATATTCATGTAGATTCTGGTGAGTAAGTAGTACATTAGTAATATTGTATACATGTATTCGGAGACAGTAGTGAGTGCATTGCATAAATCAGCAAAGACATAAGGAAATGCTGTTTGTGGTAAATGCTTTTTATGAGGTGCAATTGTTTAGATATTAAAATTCCTAACATACTTCAGGTAGCTTTTGCAAGAGCTGAACCATAGACCTAAAATATTCTGTATCTCAATGTATCAATCTGTAAGAATATGATAAAACTGTTTTCATTGACTCTTCCCACTTATAATTAATTTGCAAGAGAAATAGCATTTGTACTGAAAGAAAAAAAAATTCTCCGGATTTTTGGAACACAGCAATTTTTTTCCCAAAAGCATTTGTGAGACAGAGACTAGTCTTGTATCAATATTGAATTGCAGAAAGACATTGCTATGCAGCCTCTAATGTCAGCATTTTACTAGCTGTTGCCTGTGGTTCGTGTAAATTAAAAAGCATTTTGCCTTTTTCCTCCTGCCTTGAGAAGACAAAATAATGTATTCTGTGAAAAATTTCCAATTGGGAAAGAACACACAAGCAAATCTATATCTTGTCTGCCTGGACAAACTGTCTAAAATTAATCATTACTTTCATTTCATCTGTGGGTTCCACGTTATAAATAGAACTTCTACTCGACTTTATATATTTTAGAACAAACCAGTGTGCTTCAACATTTACTGAGAAATTTATTATCCTCTACTTTCTGTTATTTCATCAATGCATTAAAGCTGACAATATGAACTGGCAAGATGTTAAAGAACATTATCTTTCAATCTGATTCATATTCCGTTTTACTTCAGGCAGGTTATTTTACTGTCTCTTAGCTCTGCTTGAGGTACTTCACAAGTAGCCCAATATAAGGGCAGAATAATATCCAACTGTTAAATACTGTTTTCATATCCTAGCTGCAAGAAAATATTTAGTGTATTGCACTAACAAGAGTTAAAACTTCATTTCAGTGTGGAAATAAATGATCCATTTTTAGTATTTATTGTTGTGTGCTCTTTCTGCAATTTTGCAATAGCTTTCAGTTTAATAAACTCTTCTTTTAAAGGTGAGCAAAGCAGAAGGTATTTTACTTCAAGTAAAGAATGCATTGGATGAAGGAGCTGGCAAGGTGGCACTACAAGAGGTCATGATGGAATTCTGTCAAGTTATACGTCAAAAAGCTGAAATAGACTATAAAAGTTTCCAAAAAGCTGTTATCTAGAAACAGGACCTGTGTCAGGTAACTTTTCCAGATTGCAAGTAAGCCCTGACCTGCACTGTGCTATACCAGTTTTGAACATGCGCACCAGATAAGTTGACAGAATACTTTGCACAGCTAGCCACAGGCTGTCAGTTTAAAAAACTGATCTATTGGAATCTTACGAATTGAGTAATGCTCATGGGGGGAATTCAGTGTTTTGAACAGGAACACCAGTTGCTGTCCAGATGGTGAGAAGAGTTTCCATTGCAATCATTGTTGTGATGGCATCTTCAGCTGGATCATATGAGAATCATGGAACTGTTGTTATCATCCATCTGACCCTAGCAACTACTCCAGCATATCCATAATCAGTTTCTATTGGTTATCTTAAACTATATACAAGATATATCTAAACTACTTTAGCTATATGAAAAGACTATTTTGTATACCCTTTCCTTTCCTGCATGTACAGGAACAGCTTCTAGAGACTATTTAAAATTGGCAATCTATGTACAGGTTGGTCTGTTCCTACATCTATGCCACAAACTACTTAGGGGAGTTCCCTGGACTGTGGGATTGTTAGTGCAAGAAGTTAGTCAGCACATCTAAACAGATAACATCTTTCAGTTGATATAAGCACAGCTGGCCTGCCTCCCACATAGCTCCCCCTCAGCTCCTGTGTTAGTCCGTTCCTTCATTTTTAAGCTGGCTAGGAGTTCAGTCAATCAGAAGTTCAGTTACTCTTCTGCAACTCAGTCCACTGTCTCATCTTTGCAGAAACTAGCTGGGAAATTCTCAGCCTGCCGGGGGCATTGCCACCAAGGAGTGCTGAGGGTGCACACAGATGCAGCCTTGCACCCAGCAGCAAGGGTTGGCTGCTCCATAAGGGCAGGCGGATGGGGTTGGGGGTGAAAGTGAGCAAGGCCAGGGCAGTTACACCACTGGCAGTGGCTCTAGTCCCACTGTACCCAAATAGGAAGAGCAGGGCTGGTGACAGGGACTGCTGGTGATAGTAGCCAGGGTCAGTCCAGATTGCCTCCCCATTATGGCTTGTCTGGCAGGTCCAAGGTCAAAGCAGGAACTCAAGTCCATGGGATTTGGGTCAAAACCAGGGAGGTGGGAGGCTGGATGCAGGCGTATCAGCAACATAGCTCAGCCGAGACACTAAGGGCAAGAGCTCAAAGCATCTCGAGCAAAGGCGAGGCAGGAGTCTGCTGAGTCTTCTCACAGCTCTCTTTCAAGGCTCCACAGTTGTACTGTGTTATGGTTTTGTGTGGGGGGTTTTGTCTGGTAGCAGGGAGGGGCGTAATGGCTCCTTAAGCAACTGCTAAGAGTTCCCCTAGCTTCCAGTCTGCTGCTGGCGGCAAGGGAGGGGTTAGACTGGTGGCTCCGTTTTAAATGACTCTTAATGAGTCACCCCCCCC